CACCGATATCACAACGGTTCGCAGCGTTCATGTCAATTTTTGAAGGCCTTTGGTCTTTTCAATCCAAATCTAAACTCTAGGGAAATTTTGTAGCGAGTTCATGTTCGTCGAGGTCAACAACAAAGAAAGCGCTCGACCGTGAGGCAGAAAATGAAAATAAAGGAAAGGGACTTTTCCTGGCCTGCCTTGAACTGATTATTCATTCAATTTGTTTATATTTCTTGTAAATGAGCTGTTTTAACCGCATACCGAAGTATTCGACTTATCCATCTTCCTGAAACGTTATTGTCAGCAATAGCGATTTGAAAAAGAAATATCGCGGAGGGATAAGCAACTTTTATTGCAAATTTCTTACCTAAGTTGTAGATAAACAAAAACTTAGAAACTGAAAGTGTCGACTTAAGCAAAACGTCAATTTGAGCTGTATCTGTGTCTGAGAATGGCAAAAATATAACCTGCTCATTCTCAGAAGATAAGATAGACTGGAAAATATTATTTTGAAGAAAAATGTGGAGAAGGTCAATTCCAATTTTTTAATCACATTGAAAAATTCCCCGCACTCGAAATAAACGGAACTCAAGAATAATTCTATAACCTTCTTTCTTTCAGATGAAAGCTACCCTTGATTTTTTTATTTATTTTTTTTATTTTTTTTTTAATTTTATTTATTTTTTTTTTCATGAACTGAGGAGTTTGGGAGGAATTATATCCTATTATTAGTCATTGGAAGTCTATTTCTTTGTTTACGGTTGCTCAAAGTAGCTCAAAGAATGCGAGAGCATTATCAAAATTTTACAAAAGCAGAGCAGGGGCAAACACGAATGACATCGTCGCCAAGCATAAGCTTATCATCGCAAAGCGCGTGCATACGTAATTATTTGGTTTCACGATCGCTCGCTCTGATATTCAAGTTCTGAAGTTGTAACGGTACGCATTTTTCTAGCCGTGAAGTCAAGTAAACAACGATCTAAGAATGATGAATTCTACTGCATAGGTTTCGTTCACGTAAATTACGTTTTCCACTTCTAACAGCGAATCAAGAACTGTTTTGAATAAATTCCAAAATATTTTTCTGGTCATTTTTGTCTTGCTTTTATTTTCAGATTCCATGTAACATGAGATGTCTTCACACACGGAAAAATCCGCTTCTTCACTTTAAAATCCTATCCGCATACTTGTCAACGGAAAAACCCCTGATTTTTCACTCGTTCACGGCTGTCTGAAAAAGCTTCCCAGCTGCTAAATGTAATTTTTTACGGACATTGCATATTCAATTGAAGTGGGTGAATAGCTTTGAGATTGCGCATTCCGCGAAAAACTAAGCAGATTTCGGATCATCCAAATATCCGATACACATGATTTGAACCATGCGATCTTTAAGAATGATATGGATCGGATTTATTCTGAAAATACCGTGGAATTGATGGTACAAGTACTATCCGTCCTGCCGCACATGAATTTAAGTGACGGGCTCCCTAAAGTGATTTTCATCAGTATATTCTCAAGGACATTATAGCTGTTATGATCTCAGTTGAAAGCTTTGGATATACAACGTATTTCGAAACTAGTATAGATCGAAAACAAATGGTATGAGTTCTCTAGGAGAAAAAATGTCGAACATAGCTGCCTTCTTAGTGATCGAAAACTTTTCACTGAAAATTTGAACATTTAGCTTGATTATGGCCACTACTCTCATATAAGCAGTTAAACCAATTTCATTTTGTTTTCCGCCCTTGCATCAAGAAGTGATAAATTCACACTGTATAGCTTTTTGTCCTAATCATTATCTTGCATGTTCATGCTAGAGTATCTTTACTTCACAAGAAAACAACAGCGTTCAAAACCTAATTTGCTAGTAGTCAAGACGAGCAATTTATTCCGAGTACAATATCGATTTCACCTTGTTTTGTTTATAGTGTACAATCCGGGTTTTATCAACATCGAAGTATTGTAAAGAGCAGAAACCTTTTACTTAGCGAGCAAGTGTCACTCTGATGGCAAAACCCATCGAGAGAGTCTTCAGCTTAATTGTGGAACAGGGAAACAGCTCCAGTTACCAACTTTGTGATAATTTACCGGGGTCGCCATAAGTGGTTTATTTGTCAAATGATTATTACCATATCACCAGGCATCTAGTTTCCTGGAGACGTAGATCTTATTTCATTAGATGTACTGGCTGATAGCCAGAGGGGCGCTTTCGTTACAATAGGTGGAAAATGAAACTGTTTACTAGTACTTGAAATAGTCTCTCTAACAGTCTGTAAACTGCCGCTGCATTAATTACAAACTATTTTCCCCATCAATATGGTATCAGACTTCGCTGTTTATACCGGCTCCCATTCAAATTTGATATGGAGGCCTTTCGCTGCCTACGACATCGGACAATCAATGTCACAATGTTCCGCGTGTTCCAAACGTTTACTTTGTACTGTGCTCTTGGAATCATAAAATGTGCGCAATCTGTCAGAGTTTAAATGCTCCAAACGAAATGGCGGGAGCGAGATGCAAATACACCCAAAAAAAGGAATTTGATCAAAGAATTCAAACGCTAAAACAATTTTTTTTGTTTAGTTACAAAAGCTCATGATTATAGTGGTAAGACGTCGCAGAGGATAATTACTTAACATCATGCTCTTGACTAAAGCGAGCACGAAAAAAAAAACAAAGAAAGGAACTCGGAAAAAAGAAATATGGAACTGATCGCAGAAACAGAGGTAGAAGTTAAGAAGCCTTGCGGGATATTGGCGAAAAAGAAACAGTAAACAACAGAACATAAGAAGAAAAAAAAGAATGGGTGAGGTGGTTTGCGTGTCCTATGAAAGAAAAGTGTTCAGCAAATAGCACCAAAAATTGTAATCAAATTGAAAACATTTCTCTGATGTCGCTTAATGAACATGCCCTTGGCAAACATCACGTTCAATTTACATTTGCTTCCCCCGTTTTAATCCCGGGCCATTACCAGTTAAACACCTGGCCCCGGTTGTTCAAAGGGTAAATAACGCTATTTTTTGGTAACACTAATCCGCTGGATAGCGATTCATCCATCGGATAGCGTTATCTGCTCTTTGAAAAACCGGGCCCTGATCGAGAATGCAGCAACATTTGTGCAGACGTGATATATGGACCCGCGCGAACAGTATATTGATCAACCTGTCCACTCATCATTTGACAACTTGAACAAAAGCAGCCATGGCCACCTCTATGCAGTTACACTTTTATGCATGAAAACATATCATTCGCTGTACAGAGAAAATTAAAATAGCTTAAAGAGAGACGGTATAGATATTCTGAGTGGAGAACTTATGATTCAATGTGACGATTCGAAGTCAAATTAGACAAGCGAGACAAGTTAAAGCTGGGAAAGAATATAGAGGTGAAAACCATGGTAAAGAGTGTCGCTTCGACTGTCAGACTGAATCGAAGCTGTCAGCTTCTTATATTTACTGATAATGCACAGGAACACGATACTTTAGGGGCTACAAGGAAATAAATTATCTTTCGTGAATATCATGGAATACGTCAAATTAACTTATGACACCAAGCTTGGAAGGTCAATTAAAAAGAATAAAAAAAAAAAGCTCAGTTTTCTAAACGACGGTTGGATTGCGCCGAAACGTGGTCGTGCATAAAAGGAGGCATTTATTTTATGATTTATTTGGAGAAGTTTTACATTTCAGGCTATGATGATATGCCTACGCTTTTTAAATATACCGTGCAAATAATTCATAGATCATCTTTCATCTCAAAAAATGCCCTCACAAAAACTTCGAATAGAGTAAGCGCCCCAATTGTGGCTCTGACGCTAAAATTTACAGGATTCAATCGATCGAACTTTACGATTTTGCCGAAGGAAACCCCGCTGACGGAGAGAACAGATGTATCGTGCCATAATGTCCTTTTGTTCAGGTGTTTAAGTGTGTGGCACTTAGTTCTTTGTGCTCTTCCTTGTTCCCTATACACTCTAAAGACTATCAGTTTTAATATAACATTTCTAGATACCCTTGTTATAGTGGAAAGTTCGAAGTGTACATCCAATAATTGTTCCTGCTGCTTTTCTAAGTTAGGATTTCAATACATATAGTGCTCAAGGTTTTCTACTGTATGAGATAATGTGTATGCGACTTGAGTGGATCTCAATAGAGCTGTTTCGGTAGGAGCTCGTCATTGTTTGCAGTCGGAAGTTTCCTTGCAAACTTGATAACCTTCGACTTAAGCCATCACAATGAAAACACTGCTTAAGGCCGTTGCGATATTTCTTGCTAAAGATAAAACAAATGCACGGATTTACTGCGCTCCACGAATGCAACATAAATAGAGAAATAAATGGGATAACTGTTTGAAATGCGCAAATGGGTGGCAATTCCCAATTCCACAGAAATATTTGAAGAAATAAATAGATAAGCAGTGGAATCATGCAGAAAACAAATGAAATAACAATAGCCATCGTCATTCGGACAATTTTCCTAAATTGTTGATCTCGATGGTTTTGGCGACAGGACAGTTTCTCCTTCGTTTTCTTGTTCTTTCTTCTTATTTTCCATGCGATAGTGCCATACACCATGATCAGGACACAAATGGGAATAAGAATGAAAGTAATAAAGGTTGCCGTAACAAATGCCTTGTGTGTTTTCAAGTGGTCGAATGCCGGTCCCCAGTTTAATTCACAATACGTTTCACTTTCGACAGGGATCAGTTTGAAACTGTAAAAATAAGGTGCATGGATGGTGAAAGCGACAAGCCACGTGCTAAGAATCCTGATCAATCGTACTTTTGAGGTGATAAGTTTGGCCTTCAGAGGAAAGACAACAGCGAAGAGCCTGTCTATTGCGATCAAAAGAAGGCTTCCGATGGAAACCACAAGGGAAACATCTGGGAGAAAGTAGGCAAGTTTGCACAGAATATTTCCCAACAGCCACGGACTGTTAACTTTCCAGGAACTCGATCTTGAAATGATCTCAATGATCTTCATGGTCATGACGGTCAAAGGATTGAACAGGTCGGATACAGCCATGTTGAAAACGAAGTGATTCATCGACCTTCGTAGCTGCTTGTTCTTGAAAATGACAACAAGAAGTAAGATATTTCCGAAGAATGAAATCAGGGAAATGAAAATGTAAGCCACGGCCTTTGCTGTAACTTCTACCGCGGAGTCTGCTGTAATTTTACACGCTTGGTCGGAATCACTCAAGGCTGCATCGCTGGTTGTTTGTGTGCTGTTTTCGGAGAAAGATGTCACTGTCGTGTTCATGGTCATAGTTTTCTTTGATTTTCACTCAATCCACGAAAGAGCTATACAAAGGTTCTTTCGACGATCGCTTATTTTAGTAGCGGCACTGAGTTTCGTTGAAGTCACCGTTTTGTCTTATCAAAGTTTCATGGATTTGTCCTATTTATTTGAAAAGTTGTTCCTTTTAAAAGTTAATTTGAATAAATGAATAGAAATAAATGATGGATTGGATGCAAATAAAGTGAAGGCAAGAGCCGACAAGGTAAGCAATCACGATTAACGTTAAATGGAAACTACCCCGCGAACGAGGTGACATATTCATAGTCCCGGCCGTCTAATTCATAAGTAAATGATGGCTGGGTCACCCATTCCCGATAATTCTGGAATTGACAGGTGTCTAAAGAATTTCTGTTCTTTGACGCAAAGATGGTGACTTTTCTTTAAAATAAAACAAAAGCAGTTGAAAGGGAAACAAATATAAAAAAAAACTGATTGAAGACTATTTAAATGTACTAGATCAAGGGGACCATGATTTGCTCAATTTGTTTAAAATTTTTATTGATTTCATAATTCTAGTATTTAGTTTTTTTCTTGCTGAGGCCGAAGATTTTTGTCAAGGGCTGAGTAATTTTAAGAAAATTACAAGTTATGCGTATTGTTTTATGTTATTCATGTTTTTCTCTCTCAAAGTTTTACTGATGATTCTAGGGGTTTTTTTTTCTTCCTGAGGGAGAGGATTTTTGCCAAGGGCTGAGTAGTTTTAAGAAATATACAAGTTATGCGGAATGTTTTTTGTCATTCAGTAATTTTTTTTCTCTCTTAAAGTCTTAAGTTTATATCAGGTTTCAAAAATCACGAGAACAATAAGAATAAAAAATATTACTTGGCGTCTGACATTTGTATTAGAGTAGATTACCACTGCTTGATTTGTATAGCAGTTTATAGAGCAGATTTACGGTTTCCTTTTTTTATTGTCGCTGAGATTTTAAAACATGAAGGCGGTAATAACTCAAAACACTCATTACGTTACAATGCCAGTTCCACCATGATCCTCCAATTAGCAATCTTGGTGCGTTCCAAAGTGGCATTGTTGAATTGTTGCTCAATCAATGCCTTAAAGACTGTTTCCGTGCTTCCGTAAACCTCTCTGCAAAAAACGATCACGTACAAATATTTAGCCTTTATTCGCCTAAATGATATGAACCAGAATTATGTCACATTTACCCAAATAACGGGGCTATCGAGAACAAGAAACGTGAGCACGTACATTCTAAAATCAGCACAGCGACAAATGCGAGAATTGATATACCGTTATTTGAGCGCTTTCCACTGACTGGGTAACAAGGGACCTCGAGGCCTTCCTCTTAAATTGAAGATTAAATCCACCTCAGAGGATTTAAAAGGAAGCCGAAATAAAATAATTTGATAAATAAATCAATTCTGGTCTTGCTAGACAGATAAATCCATTCAAAGACTGATGCGTTAACATGTTTAGACAGGTAATTATTCATGACTCAGAAGAGCGTTACTTAATTTGTTTTGCTTTGCTTCCTTGAGCTGTATATCCTACTTGAAGCATCATTTACGATGAAACTAACGCCCAATTCTTTCGATTATTATTGAATCCTGAGCAGAAGAAAAACGCGTGTGCAGTTGTACATGTGAACATGCCATAAAAATGTAAAACGCTGTTGGTTTATTGATTGCGAAATTTTCAACGATATATAGGCATTCGTTGGCCTTTGGCAACACATCTGACCTAGTCCGCCAGGAAACAGTTTTCCTACGTTCTGAACGACTCTATTGAGAGCGCTCAAAGAAACCCAATTTACCCCTGTCGAACTATTCGCACACATGTGTAAATGAAAGGATTGATCGAAGTTGAAAATGTAGGCGTGGCAGGGCAACCCCTGTTGTAAAGTTAATGTTAAAAGCAAATCCCGTTTGACAGTTTTTGGTGGAAGATTTGGAAACCTCAATTTCAATATTTCCTTATTTGGGATACAGCCTCGCAGCTGAGAGAATTTCAGCCGATCGAATTTTGGTGGTTTCCAAATTATGGTCGTGATCGTCATACTGTTAAGTTTCCTGTTAATATCAGACCATGACAAGAAATTGTTTACGGAAAGAGCGCTAGCTCTGAGATTTCTAGTAGGACAGTTTTCAATATATTCTTAGCTATTTTTGCTAAATTTGAAACTATTGTCTCTGAGAAACACAACATATAGCGAATTAACAGTATTTTATACCGTAATTTTTATTGGCCGCTAATGCAAAGTCAGGCTCGTTTATCTCGGAAATGGCTGTATATTATTTTTCCGAAATAAAAGTTAACGTGAAATACTATGTATATGTACTAACTCTGGTTAATTTTTATGACAATATGACAATTTAAGTGTGGTGAAGAGGCCTTAAAGACACCGAAAGGCCTGAATTAAACTTGTATTAAGGACTGTGCACAGCTGAACGCGCTGTAACTTGAAAGGAAGATGTCCAGATATTGTGTTTGTGAGGAATTGCAATCTACTTCACTTTTCTTCTGACAACGAGATCAAATCTAGCACCGCCGGTAAAAGGCGATAAAATCTTAGACAGGCTGAAAAAAATACTTCTCAAAATGAATACTAATCGATAGAAACCAAATCCCCAATCCCTGAACAAGAGTCACGAATCGCTAAAAGGGAAATAGGAGTAAAATGCACATCCATCTCCCAGTCATCAAAGGGTCGTGGTACCGTATTTTATTAAAAAAAAAAACCGAATTTTTTTTCTTTTTGCCACATCTTCATTCAGTCCTTTTGTTCAGCGCGCGAAAATTTAATTAATGTTCGTTCTTTTTTCTGCATAATTTTCCTTTACTCATATCGTTTGAATACAAATTTTATTTCATTCATTTAAATGCTTCCATTAATTCGGAATCGCTTAAACCATTCAAACGTCTATGTCGATCTATTTTACTTCGTTTTCCATTCGCCGATTTTTCAGATCTCGTAAAACGATTGCTAGTGTCTTTAGCTGCCCTCCTTTACTTCTGTTTTGTCATTTTGTCGATTTAAGTCGAAGCAGAGACATACGTTGCCTTCACAAATTTCCTGTGTGTTTTCATATGGTCGAATGCCGGTCCCCAGTTCAAGAAACAATACGCCTCATTTCCGTTAGGGAACAGCCTGAAAAAGTAAAAATAAGGTGCATGGGCGGCGATTGCGACAAGCCACGTGCCAAGAATGCTGATCAGTCGTACTTTTGAGGTGATAAGTTTGGCCTTCAGTGGAAAGACAACAGCGAAGAGCCTGTCTATTGCGATCAAAAGAAGGCTTCCGATGGAAACCACAAGTGAAACATCTGGGAAAAAGTAGGCAAGTTTGCTTAGAATATTTCCCAGCAGCCACCGACTGTCAACTTTCCAGGAGCTCGATTTTGAAATGATCTCAACGATCTTCATGGTCATCACAGTCAAAGGATTGAACAGGTCGGATACAGCCATGTTGATAACAAAGTAGTTAATCGATCTTCGGTGTTGCTTGTTCTTGCGTATCAAACTTTGCCTATTGTTTTGGTTAGGATTTTTTAAGACAATGAAGCTTTTCTTATCTGTCCTTTGGGATTTTTCTCTTCGGTGACACGAACTTAGACTCGGTTTAACTCGGCTCTAGTTCGCAAATTTTCAATGATGACATTTTCGTTCCCTACGGGAGCCTACTAGGGAAAACACAGACAGATTAGCAGGGGGCGAGTTAGTAAATGTCGGTACCTCGACTGGACGCGTCTGTTGGAAGGATGTTGATTACACGTTGATTCACGTACGTTGATTCACAGTACGCGATTCGAATTGTAATCATGGAGTAAGCTTATCGCATGCGATAGAGTCCCAACGTGTAATGCTCCACTCCAGTACACAGTATATAAATAAAATATGCATGAAATATAAAGTTTACGACGTATTTTATCAGCAAAAGTAATCTACTCCAGTCATGTTATTGCGCGCAAGCGTTCTAGGAAAGCTGGGCCGGGAACGATCTGTTTTCCATTCGCGTTAAATTTGTTGTTTTAAAGTTCTTTTTGTTTTGCCCACGCGACGCCGTTTTAAAATAAACAGAGGGCAGGCAAAAAAAACTGATCCTGGAAAGAAAGGAAAGAAAACTGCGTGCGTTCTTTTATCAACCACTGACGCCAGGAATTTAAAAGAAACAATGCTGTTGTTGTCAAGCCTCAGGAACAAAGAAAGTGTGATTTCACACCTTCTTACATTTGAGTGATGTCACTTTTCGGGCAGGGCCCAGATAGTTTGAAAGAACATATTTATCCTTCGCTTAGCGCGCAAATCTTTCCACACACTATACTAATGAGCTACTGTCACTGTGAGGGGCTGCAGTGTGGTATGGGAGGCGTTAGAATAATAGGTCCGCGAATTCGATGTATTCTTCTCGGGAGTTAAGTGTAGGTTATGTGCGCTTGTCGAATACTTTGGAGACTTCGTAAATCTTACTCACAGTGTTAGCTTTACGCCCAGTCGCAAACTGTAGAAAGCGATGTCTGACTCCAGATTAGGTTTGCGAGCCTTTTTATGCTATTGTTGAACTTTAGAAGAATACCCTTAATTAATCTGCCCGCTTGCCGCCTCCCTTTATTTATAAACGTTGACTCAGTGTGATTACAACAGGTCACTACAATCATAGGCAGAGAAAAACGCTCTCTTTTTAACTTTTATAATTGCATGGCAGGTTATAAATGGCGTTAACGAAATCGAGGGAAGGGGAAAAAGCGGAGGGATAGAGCCTTGTTTCACTGTTAGAGTGGTAAGTTTACGAAGGAAAAGTGAGGTTACTCAAACGTAAAAAGGCGTGAAGTCACACTTTCTTCATTCCCTTCGGCTAGCGGACAAAGTGTTTTCTTTTATATTCATTGCGTTGAATACTCTAAACTGCCGGCACACAGTTAATTAAAAAAGAAGTAATTTTCAGGATCAGTTTTTACTGTCCACCCTCCGTGTTTCTTAAGTTGGCACCAAATTTTATAATCATATCGCACGTTATAAAATGGAGCGAAAGGGACGTCATAAAATGAGCGAAAGGGAAAAGCGGAGGATTTGAACTTTGTTTCACTGTTAGAGTTCTTAACATGATAGCGGTTTGTTATTC